GTTTTGTGGTGGGCGGGGGTGGGGCACCCCGGCGGCGGGGGTCCGGGGGTCGAACCCCTACCCCGGCTTTGCCCCCGGGGGCCCCCACCTGACAACCCTGATTGCAAGTGCACGGCCCACCAGGGAAGTGTGGAGACCCTTCCAATTGCCCATTGCTTGTATAGCTGTTTGGACCAGGCTGTCTCCGTGGTCTTTCGGGGGGGGCCATGGCAGTTAGCCGAACACCCAAGACGCGGATGGCTTCCGCCTTTGCTCTCCAGTTTACCGGGGGTTGTTCTGGAAGGGGTGTGTGTTCTGCGTTCAACCACCATCCTTCTGTTTTTGCGCCCCAATTAACTTTCATGTCAGCAGCTATCGAGAAGATGTGGTTTGGGCCAGAGCATGGAAACTGGTCGCATTGGCCTTTATGAGGACTGTCAAGTCATCAACAAATAGGGAGGTGATTGGGATCTTGTGTGTCGGGATTTCAGGGATGTCGATGCGTTCTATGGCCGGGTTCGAACGGATGAGTGCCGCCAGGGCTTCCATTACGATCACAAAAAGCAGTGGGGCAATGGGGTCTTCTTGTCTGACTAATCTCTGCAGTGGGAAGGGAGGAGACATATGACCATTTATCATTATGTTGGTGGCAGCAGATTGATGTAGAGTGTGGATCCATTGTTTGAAATTGCTTCCGACATTCATTTTTTGTAGACAGAGGTCCAAAAATTCCCAGTCTACATGATCATAGGCTTTCTCAAAGTCTATGAGCAGTATCGCCGCGTCCACTCCTCTCTGTTTAGCATATTTGATTGTTTCATTGACCAGTAGTATGTTGTTTTGAATGTTTCGCCGAGGTATGAATCATGTCTGGTCCATATGTATGAGGTTTCCCATCAAAGGTAGTAAGCAGTTGCCCAAAGCTTAAGCTACCATTTTGTATGGGAGTGGAAGAAGCGTGATAGGTCGGTAGTTTCTAATCTCCGCCCTGTCTCCTTTGTTATAGATCAGGGTGGTAACTCCCTGTCCCATCAAGTCCCCAAAGCGTCCCTCCTTCTGGGCTGCATGTATGTATGCCATCAGGTACATTTTAAGCAGGTCCCAATAGTGGATCCATAATTCTTTGAGAAAGGAGTCGAGGCCGGGGGTTTTCTCGTCTTCCATGTCTGTGAGAGCTTGTAAGATTTCCTGAGAGTCGATTGGTGCTTCTAACACTTCCTTCTGCTGTTGCGTGAGAAGGGATGACAAGTTGTGGAGTATTGTTGTTCTTGCCTGGTGTAGGGTATCTTTATCCCATTGTTCACTTTCTGATGTGAACAATTCTTGGTAGTATTGTGTTGCATAGTCTACAATCGCGTAGGGATTGGTGGCATCAGGCTGTCTTGGTTGGAAGGGGTGATGTAGTGATGTCACGCGGTTCTGTCTAGCTCGACTTTTGGCTTTGTTAAAAAAGGTTCGAGACATTGTGCCTTCCATGTCTGCCCTTTTTATCCTTGACTGGATCCTCAATGCCTCTGTTTGTTTGTCGAGGAAGGCTTGTAGGTAATCCCTAGCCTGTTGTAGCTGGTAAAAGGTATGCAGGTCTAGGGGACCATCCAACATTTTGTGGTCTCATTCCTCTAATGTATGTATCAGTTTGTCTATCGTTTCCTTGCGTTGTCTTGCTAGATTGATAACAAACTTCTTATGTAATACCTAAGCTTGGCGATCCCCACGTTGAACCAATCCACGATTGACGAGGTTGTGGTCTTTTTTGTTGACCAGTGGTCCCTAAACTCTTTGACCAGTGCGTCCAGCGATTGTTCTTTTAGGAGAGGGGTGTTGAATTTGTAGAAGCTGGGTTCGCATTGGAGTTGGAGATGGAATGAAAGTCCCATCACAATGCCCCTGTGGTCAAAGGATCTGCAGGGACTAATGGTTTGAATCTCTGCCACTGTCACTAGGGGCGAGATCGACTGAGATACGAGAAAGTAGTCTATTCTTGAGCTGGACAGTCTCGCCTCTCCCCTCGATATCAAACATGTGTATGCCCTTTTGGAGGGGT